GAATCACACGATAGTTCTTACACGGTGAATTACCATGACCAATGTGACACATAGCTTTTCTGCGATTTTCCTTGCTTAATATAACAATAATTCTTGCATTTGACATTGTGCCTGATCAAGTCATCGAAACATCTCAGTGCTTCACAAGAATTTTACTATGTCGTGCTCCGTGATGTGCGTCAGCCTGTCTCAGTGTAACACTCTCGCCTCGAAGTCAGAAGGTTGTGGGTTCAAGCCCCAAGTCGGGAATCACGCAGCAAAGTAGACAGGCATATGAGAAAGAGGAGACATGGGGATAAGGCAAGGTGGTGGGTTTGAACTGATCTCCTTGCTCTGTGAGTTAGTGTAGACTCAATGGGCCGAATGGCCTTCTGCGCGGTAGATTTCTATGTTTCTAAATCACCTAATCAGATTTTCAGTGTAGGAAGACATGCATTTTTACTTGGAAATCTGAATGTACAATACTTTAGGAAGTTCCATGAATTCCAGTATCTGATAGCTGTGGTGACTGAGAATTACATGATTAAGCTTTTACCTGATCAATAATTGCCTCATTGTTAACTGCGTAAACACATCCTGTAAAATGCAAGTCTTACAGTCATATGAAGCCAACTAATTTTTGCAAAGTGTTTAAACAGCAATTCTGAAGGAGCTGTTCATATTTTATAAGCAGTTTGTTTATAGTTTAATAAGCAGTTTTTCATTTTATACACATTTCATATTATATATGGTTCAAATGAACCTGAATAAAATGTTGTAATGTTGTAATTCTATTGCAATATGTCTTAATATAATGGCAACAACACTTCACACAACATTTAAAGCTGCACTGATGCTCGTAGTTTGACTTTATTGCTTGCAGAGCAAATTTGATACAAAGGGATTGAAACAATTTGAAAATTCACAATTTTAAATTAAGTTCCAGTTACTTGAGACTTAAAATCATAATGTAGATGATTTACTATAGATTGATTGTCGGTGTACCAACATGTTAAAATGACAGCTCAATTCTTAGCGGGGCTGCATTTTTTGGAGGTCAGGCTGCACTGAACAGAGAGAAAAATTTAAGGTCAGGCACCAACTCTCCCACAGAAAGGGAGATAATGTAATAATAATTGCATTTGATATACAGTACTGCCTGTAATCAAGAACATGCTCAAAGTGCTTTGATGTTTCTCTCAAATGTGCCTTATTTTTACAATGTACTAAAATGGTTGCACTTCACTGCATCACTGGCAGTTGCGGGATTACTCAAATACGAGATGTACTCCTGCAATTGTACTGCTAAACTCGAACTATATGTACCCCTTACAATACTGTATTTATTTCCTTATCGTGGGGCTACATAGAGCAATACCAGCAACTGATTCCCTTCAGGCTTACTGCAGGGTCAATATATTGCCTGCTTCAAGGACAGCCAAGTCTCAAATGGAGATTACAGAGCATGGCAGCAGCCACAGCAGCGAGCCTGTTCTGGAACATCAGCTGTCTTATCAATTGAACAGGTTCACAGAGCACAGGAGCAGATTAGTCCGTATTGATTTGATTTAAAGTAAAAACTCTTCTAATGGTCACTTGTATTATTTATCAACATGTCTTTAACAGCTAGTTCCCATCGTACAAACAATGACTCAATACGCTGTCTGTTGGATTAAACAGCTACTTGCCTTAGTGAAGAAACCTTATTGCACCTTGCCGTGAAATTGAAGTATACTTCATCTAAAGCTAGATTAAAACAGGACAACACGAAACGGCAACAGCTTCACATTGGTTCACTTTCAATTAACTTTGATTTTTCTTCCCTTATCCCCATCACCAGTGCCATGCAAAGTTATCTGAGAGGAGGAAGAACAGAAAGAAATTGGACTTTCACAGCACCTTATCATATTGAACTCACTGCAATGCTCTTCACAAGTAATTACTGTCAACTGTAGTAGCTGTTCTAGCAGACAAATGGGCAACTCTATGTGCAGCAAGATTCCTCAAATGGCAATGGGGTAAATGATCTATTAATCTGAAACTTGAGAATTTATACTGGTTTATCGCTTCAAAATGTCTCTAATGTTTTACAGAAATTACAGCCGAGTGCACTTACTTTTTTGTGGGCAAACATGGCAGAAATGTGTAAAACAGCGTGATTCCCACAAACATGCACTTTACCTGGAAGATTGATGGTTCTGGGAAGAACTGCCTACTCTTCAAATAATGTCATGAGATCTTTAATGTCCATCTGAACAGGCCAATAGGACCTCGGTTTAATGTCTTATCCAGTGGTCGGCATCTCAATTACTGCAGACCTTTTGTTGGGTCTTTACTGTCAAGGCTCAGAAACTGAGATAATTGAGTTGGGGACCTGATAAGGACTAAGATTATTAAAGAATTCAATAAGGTGGATGTTGATGGGCTGTTTCCACCCCGCTGGTGAATCCAAAACTTGAAGACATAAATAAAATAGCGAGCAGTACAGCTAATGAGGACTTTGCACAGAAGGTAATGTGGATGTGGAATGCGTTGCTGGAAGGGAGAAGGGAATAGAGGGGAACAGGAGGCGTGAAGGCTCAACAACAAACAACAAGCTGCATTGATATTAGAACATAAGAATTAGGAGCAGGAGTAGGCCATTCGGTCCCTCGAGCCTGTCCCGCCATATTGTGCTCTTCATGCAGGAGGTGTCTCGGAGCACTTGGATAGAGTATAAACACTGGCGAGTATGAATCGGGTTGAATGGCCTATTTCCCTGCCGTATCAGCACTCTACTGGTAATGATATCACACATGATACTGAAATAATGTGCCAGGATGGACAACAGATAAGAAAATGAGAGCTTTTGGACATGATGCTGAAGTGCTGTTCCACCTACAATTCATAAATTTCAACCAATTCCCTGGACCGTCCATCACTTTTCAAAATATAATGTGGCATAAAACAAGGTATAACGTGGCGTCTGCTATTCCGGACCCAAACCACTGCATTATAATGGAGTCAAACTGTTCCCAGTTTCCAATAAAACTGTGAATAGCAATCATTACTTGCTTTAAGCATCAAAAGTTACACTTTCACCATGTTTTCAATTCTTAGGGTTTGAAATTCTATCCAAATATCATCATGGGAGTTTCTGGGCTAAGCTATCAGTAACTTATCAGTAAGGTACTGATATAAATGGAAATTGTAATAGTGCAGGGAAGGGCTATTTATGATCAAGCCCTGGGCAGCACTCGTCATTCCCTGAAGCTAGATCATCCATTGATGGGTGAAACTAAGTCAATATTTGATGGCAGATTAAAGGCCGTGGATTGATGTAAAGTTGTCTTAAGGGGGCAAATCGGTCTGTGATTCCCTCATCACCCCCAACAGAAGTTTGCAATGCAGGCTGCCCAGGGATGCTGAACAGAGTACAATAAAAATAAACTAATTTTCATCTTTACCAAATATAGTTTATAATTGTAGGCCGTTTCTCCTCTGGTTATATTTTTATTAACATTTTATGGTTTGCAATCGCATTCGGGCATGCAACAAATATATATGAATTTTAGCACATTTTCAATTTATTCAGCAAATACCAATAATAAAGCAATTTTACATGTTATTTTCCATCTGCTGCTGTTGACAATAACATTCTTAAAACATTATTAAAGAGCTAAATCACTTTTCTTCATTTATGAACAAAATCCATTTAAAACTGCTTACACTAAGATACAAGTGTTTTTTTCTGCTTTGGCAACAAACAAAACAATTTGTCTTACTTATAAGAAATATAGCTCCCAGTAACAAGCCATATGAAAAAATTCCACATTTTAATATTATGATAATCAAATTTTCAGGGAAAGACGTCAAAATCTGGCTCATTTAACTGGTTTTTCCTTCATATACATATTCTGGAAGATTGAGTCATTACATTCTTATTATTATCCAGACTCCAGTAAGTCATCATTTGCTGCATTAAGAGTTTGCTCTGCAACAACAATTGGCAATTCGTGCAGGTCTATGTATACTGCTACATTTCATGTGGTGAACTGAAAATTAAGATGGTGGAAACCAGTTATAAGACAGTAAGATGGGGGTCCATAAAATTCTAACCTGCCCGAGATCAAAAATGCTTCATCATGATATAACCAATCACAGGATCAATGACATCACTACACAAAAATACATGCAAAAAACAGCTGGTTCCACCGGACTGCATTGTACATGACAGTCCAGGTCTTAGATTCAAACTATTATCTTTTAAGACTGGGTGGAAATTTGGAAATGCAGAAAAATGGCTTCCAATTTAATACTGAATTGATGTATCTTCCAAAGTTCTGCATGATTTTAAAGTAAGACAGTGGGGTTCAGGCTGAGACCTTCAGTAATTTCATGCTATTGCTTTCAATACAGGACCTGATCATTTGTGATGGTTGTTTTACTCCGTCTGCCTGCTTATACTAAGACTAAGTATTGGGGCGTTTCCTAATTGATTTTATTCAACGTCAAAAGTATCCGATAAACCAGTCACAAAGTTGGAACTCGAGGACTGAGGTGGCGGTCTGCTCCTCATCACACCTAACATTTTCTTTCCTTATGGGATACAGCGAGACCTGGACACATTTCAAGCCTTAGGAATGACCACCGATGACAAAATATCCTAACCTATTTGAAGCTGTGCTCAAAAACCTAACGGTCTCACCATTTTGTCCGCGATAAACCCCCCCAAAAAAGCATGTTTTTTTTTTATCGTGCACAAGAGGCAGAATAAAATTATATCTGAATTGAAAAAAATGTGGAAATAAAAATGTGGGAATGGGCGAGTCAATGAGAAAAATAATTCATCTTCAGGGAGGCACCTTTTAAATGATCACGTGGCTAATGTCAGATATCATAAAATCACTGATAGGGTAATCTCCAAGTGATTTTCCTTCATTGTCAAGTAGTGCTTATTCCTGTGGTGCATGGAGATTGTAGGAATTGAGATGAAGGATTCCATACTATTCACATTTATAACATATACAACTTGTACAAACCTCTTTTGTAGATTAGACTCTTGCCTGGCCCGTTCTTGCACCATCTCTTCAGTAATTTGCTTTCTGATCTCCTCATCAGTAGCTACTACACAAAAATAAAAAGTACAAAAATAATTACTGATTCAGAATCTACATTTCATACATGTCTTATCCAAAATCTAATCAGTCTTCAAAGTTACACAAATGCATATTCATTGATAGCTGCTTGGACTGTATAGTTTTAAATTAAATAATGCAATGTTTTGATGTCCAAAATTATAAAAGCCTTACAGCAAAATGCAATGAGATTATCCATGCTTTGTGTAATTTTATGTTGGGAAAACTGTTCCATCAATGCTTACAGACAGCATTTTAACATGGGTTTCTGATTAGTTGTGTAAAAACCAATACTGATTTAATGAAAATAAACTGAGGATGAGGAAGCGAAAAGAGAGGTACGGAAAGAGCCTGAAAGACAATCAATAGAGGATTGTAATCCTTGATATTTTAAACGCCAAACATATACATTTGAGGGATGAGTGAACACTTCAGAATATCCCATATCAATTACATGACACAATTCTCAAGAGTCTAAATAGATCTCATATTCCCAAACAATCACATATGATACAGATTTTTGCAATTCTGCCTGGGCACTGTGAGCTGAGGAGGGCAAGGAGCATAAGAGACTACCAAAAGCACAGCCAAAGCGGTACGTTTTGAGGCAAATTGTGAAAAATGGGACAGAGTACAGACAGAGACAAAATAAAAAGTGGTTATTGATGGGGCAAGGTTTGCTAACAGCTGAAATAACTTATTCCTGATTCCTTGAATTAATTCACATAAAATTCACTTCAGTTTAAACATCCAACCTCCTCCCTTAAACATACTACACATTGGCACTTTGCCTGTACTTCACAGGTAATAAAATATTTGGCTGAATAAAATATTTGGCTGTTCAAGCACAGCTTTTAAAAATGAAAATACTGCAAGGAATAGTGTAAATCAGGTGGAACGGATCATACCTTTAGTCCAGCCCAGACTGATGGAATGAAAATCTCCTGAAGTCTCTGATGGCTGTAAGGCTTCAAAGTTGGCCACATGATTTGGCAAATTGGTATTAAAATGGTAGAGCTGCTACCAGTATGACCAGTGTTGGGAGATGCTGCATTGACACAGTACAAGGTGATTGAGGTAGATTGTTTGGGCTCTGTGATTGGGAATTACCATTGCATCCAATGCTACATTAAGGCTGCCAGTGACGGCTGTTGATATTGAGTGTTATAGGTGCTATACCAAATGCAAGGATTATTATTTTAGTCGGAATTTACTCTCTTCATTGATGAAGCAGGTACAATTTCTAAAAATGATCAAATAGGGAGGTTGATAACCCCTTTGTTTAGCTTTTTTTAAGGCAAAATTTAAATGAGAATAGCATCTCAGCCTGCTCACCTTATGATAAATTCATTTAATTCTGGATTTTGCTTTGGCAATATATCAATGTTATAGCACCTCTTACTCTTTGGTAAAACAATGACCATTACTGCTGCCGTTTCAAAAATCATTACAAAAAACATGGGTCAGTAGATACGTGCACAGGTTGAAACATAACACTGCTCATGCCAACAGGGAAATCAATATCACTGCCAGGTTGTCACAACTGAATGCTGCACAATTCTCATCTTTGCAATGATTTAATGCATAGTTTAAACAACAGTAAAAACACCTTTAGGTTTTTATTTGGTTTGTCTGAGATGTTCATGAAAGTTCACATGAACAAACACACACTGATCTCTCATTCATTTAAAAACACTTTGATCTAAAACCAGAATACCCCATAGAATCGTCCAACATATTTACCTTGCAGCCAGTTGACCACATCACCAAAATCCTGATCAATTGTTGCTATTTATTAATATTAATGGATTCTTTGTGGAACCTGCATTTTTTTTTAAAAAATGCTACCTTAGAAATCAGAACTGCTCAAAGCACTTTATAAGTGTTTTTGTAGGCAAACTAAAGCAGTTATTCAGTGCACAGCAAGCAAATAATCATTAAGCCAATGACCAATATTTCTGCCAGTTGTTACCAGGATATTCACCATCTTATCTATAAATGTTATTTATTGACTCAATTCATGGGCTCACATTCAAAATCAAAATTCAGCACAATGGATAGTGCACCTAACTGATAGATCAGTAGAGAATTTACTATAGAAGCAAAATTAACAAAATATATTCATTATACACACACAACTACGCTACTAATTACATTAAGAATCCTTGGAGTTGAGAGAGCAGCAACATTGTGAATAGCTTAGTAAAGTGCTTCATTTAAATCCCTTCAGTAGTGCTTTGGGAGGAATGGTTTCTTCTTCATTTCCATGTAAACGACAACAACTTGCATTTATATAGCTTCCTTCACACCAGGTAGCGTCCCGGAGCACTTTGTGTAAACTTGTAAACCACCATTCTTACATCAGTAGAAAAATAGTCCTGGAAGAGTTTCTATGCCTGACAGCATCTGTGCGGGAGCTGAAATATCAGCAGAGATGGTGATCAACTTAAGGGTGTTTAACTATGCTGGCATTTGAATTGCCTGTTAATTCAGCTCTCTCGCACGCATTTGGACCAGCAATTCCTCCCAGCCGTGCCCTGCAACATTGAACATAATTGATATGAAAAGAGAAATACATTCAGAGGAAATGAGACTGCCTTCTCAAATCAGAGGTAGGTTTCCAGGCCATGTCAGAGATTTTATCAATGGGTATTGCAAACCGAGTAATGGCAGGTTGAAAGTATTAAAGGAAAACAAGCCACCAGACCTGATGGGAGTGCTGACTTGAGTACTTAACAACGAGGCTGATGAAATTGGTCATATTATGGTAGATATGTTACAGAAATCAATGAAAGCAGAAGTAGTGAAGTAATCATTACTCGCTGGGCTAGTACAAGAATAACCTGCTGAGCTTCCACCATGAGATCTTTGCTAAAGATTGTTGTTAGTCATTATTAACTCGGATCTGCCAATTTCCAGAACTCCTAGGACTGTTGCACCATGCATTATATTCGTAGATTGACAAACGTATTTGACCTACAATTCCATAAAAAGAGCTTCCAGCTTGTGGTGTAATTCTCCAATAGGGTAAACCAAACTTGAGTCATTGCAATTTTAAATAAATGAGAAGCAATTTACAGCAATAGTAATGACGTGCAGGTTGGGTATTTTATAATCAAATCACTATTGCTCATTTTAAATTCATTCTTGCACTGGAAAGGATATGTTGTGGCACATATTTCAAGGTGTAATCAAGGGACCACAAAAAGAGGTAGTTGCCAAGTACTATGGAGGTATGGTGGATTGTAACGGATTGTACAAGCGTTCATTACAGAAATAAGAAAGCAATAAATAGTAGCTGGTGATATTAAACCAACCATTTTTAATAGTCAAATTCCAAGGACGGATGCCAAATCAATGCCAAAGAATGATTGTACTCAACACTCAAACACACTTTGTGCCAATCTTGCATACAACCATTGTATGTCAGGGGATTGGAATGGATGAAGTATCCGCAAGCAAAAATGCAAAGAAAATCTATAAGGAGTATACAGGAAACATTTATTTTGGAATAGTATTCTCCTCACAAAGCACTGGAACGCTGGAAAGATGCTCACCATCATTAATCCTTTCAAAAAGATTTAACCGTACAATGTTTTGTCTCCCATTCATTAATCAAACCTTTGACCTAAATCAGACTAGATTGAGTCATTCCACACATTTTCCCCAAAAGCCAGTTTGCCCACGTCAAATGACTTCAATATCAACTGCTCCCATTAATCTATGAAAGGCCATTGCTACCTTTCCGTAGAAATTCAATCTAGATCGAATCACTACAACTGGATGAACAACTTGAATATCTTATTATTTTCAGACAATTTGTGAAAATGTCTGCTTAAAAAAATGAGTCTTAATGGGATTGTTGTGTGAGGAACTGTTACATCCAACAGAATGTGAAAGAAAACCTACACAGTAAATTGAAAACTAGAATGACAGGATCACAGAAAACACCCTGGGTTAAAGAGGATTACATCTGATGTTAATCAAGCCCCCTCATATTGTCAGGCTCATTACTTACTTACAGATGGTGCTTCAGTTGACAGCCCTCCATGTTTAAATGAAGATTTTATTCACAAAATAAGGTGAAAAGAAGGTCAGAATTATCACAACTGGATTTCAAAGATTCATTTTTAAAAACGAGGCTTGATGACAAGACTATTGTAAAGATTATCCAAAATTGGCTGCACCCTAATGCAATAAGTATTGTTTTTGTCAGATTGAAGCAAAGTTAAGTCGTTCATCCAGTTGCAGTGATTTGATCTAGATTGAATTTCTACAGAAAGGTAGCAATGGCCTTTCATAGATTAATGGGAGCCGTTGATATTGAAGTCATTTGATGTGGGCAAACTGGCTTTTGGGGAAAATGTGTTGAAGTCAAAGTCAACAATGCTCTCTGTGGAACAAACCTGATTAGTAAGTGCTGGATATTGACAATTGGTGAAGAAAACAAAAAGTATTTCCTTCCTCAGCACAGATACTCTTCACCATTTTAAGCAACAAATGCACTCACAAATGATTCAGTTGGCAGCCAAAACTGTGCGTTCAATTCATAGACTAGGCTGACATTGCATTGCAGTGCTGGGGGTACACTGCATTGTTGGAAAGGTTGAGATGTTAAATCAAGGACCTGTTTGCCTGTTCAGGTGGACATTAAAGATCGCATCATTTGAAAAGAGAGTTTCTTCTGGTGTTCTGCCCAACATTCCTCCAGAGAAAAAAAACTGGTCATTCATTTCAAGGCTGCGGACACGTTGGCTGTTGTTTTTCCCCTAAAAAATACAGTCACTATACTTTAACTTTACATCAAATCCGGTGAAGCTCTTTAGCAAGACATCTTCTGTTCTGAAAGGCTCTACTGAATATCAAGGATTATTAAATAAAATACAAGTTGTACAGTTGAATGCTTCAGTGAATGAAATCTTCTGTCATTCCATTTTTAAAAAAAATAAATACTTCCTCAAATTACCTAGTAGATAAAAGAACTGCATG